GGGAGGGTATCTTCACAGGAACCCCAATGGTGAGGGCCTGCCCCACTGGCCTGCATTTGACAGTGAGGAGCAGTACCTGCAGCTGGACATTGAGCCTACCGTGGGCCGTGCCCTGAAGGCCTCCAGACTGAAGTTCTGGACGGAGACCCTGCCCCGGAAGATCCAGGAGCTGAAGGGGGCTAAGGAGGAGCACGCAGAGCTGTAACTCCCTGTGTGTAGGAGAGAAGGGTGGGCCTGAGTGCATGCAGGCCTGCCTCTGCTGCCACATACGCACATACTCATGCAAACATTCATCCATTCTCTTGCCATCAATTCAGCCCACACTCATGGAGAATCCCCTGCATGTTCATTGCCAAGGTTGCCTTGTGACCCTCTTATTATTGTATCTGCCACTGTAATGGCCTGTATCTAGGTGTCTCTTTCAAGCCTCATGTGGTCACAGCTGGGGCTTTCTAGAGGTGACTTGATCTAGGGTATATGATGCTGGGATGAAGTAGTTGATGTTGACATTAATCTATGTTTCAATAGTAGGATTAAGGATTCCCTTCCCTGGTGTGAGCAATTCCTCCCTAAAGGTAGGGTGGCTGGCTAGGATATAACAGGAGGCTTGCTACTGTCACTTGTCACTTGCTGATGCTGAGCCTGCTGCTTTCTGCCTTTGGCCTGCCCTTAACTGTTTCTTCTCTGTGATTCCCCTCTGCCTGCCTACTTCTATAGACTGTGAGCCAAAACAACCTTTCCTCTTTTAACTCTGGGTGTAGAGTTCTGTGTCAGCAACCAAAAAAGTAACTGAGGCAATCTGGGACCTGTGGATGGGTAAGTCCCAGTGGATATCCACCTTTCTCACTGTGGAGGGCCACCTAAGTGACTCTTCTGAAAGTCGAGCAACTGTCTCCATCTTGGCTGAGCCTGACCTTATTTCCATGTATTGATATGTGTAAAGCTGGCTAGGTTCTTCATGCCTTTCATTGGCTTTAAGCAATGCATATCATTCTAGCTGAGGTGCTGGTGGCAGTCCCTGAAGACGGCAGGCATATTTTCCCAGAAACCCCCACCTACTGCTCCCTATGTGAGTTGGGCCAAGAGGGGGTGAAGAGCCAGTGCTCCACACTGACCATGTAGCACCCAGCCTCAAACCTTGATATGGAGGCTATGGCTTGCTGGTGCTTGAGAGATTATACATCAGAGCTGAAGCACTGACTGAAATATATCTGCATATCTATCTCTGCCTGTCGCAGAGGGGAATGCAGGCCTCTTACCTAGCCCAGCTCACTGCACTCACCTACTTCCACCCTTCTCACACTCACTCATCCTCAAGCCACTCCTGTCTTCATGAGTGAGTAGAGCCCAGTTTCAACTGTAGGTCGAGGCCTTTGTGCCAGATAGCCATTGATAGGTTATGGCCCTAGTAAGAATTGCTAAATTATTATGTTGGTCATCTAATATGGCTGAAGCCCTTAAAACAACAGCTCATCTTCCCAGAGACCACCTCCCCTCTTCTTCTCCAACTCAGCCCAGGGTGCAGTTTCCTTTCACCTTTCTCTCCACCTCAGGGAAGGCCCCAATCAGCTCCTCAGGTATATCTAAACTTCCCCCTCAAGCCCCACTCCTGGCAAAGGCCATAAAAGCCTCAGCCTCCCTTTGTTCCAATCCAGAGAATTCCTTATCTTCCCAAATTCTCTCCTTGTCCTCTAAGATAATGAAGTCCCTTTTCCTTTACAATAAAGCCCCTTTCCCCGTTCCTTCTGTGTGTTTCTCTGCTGCGACACCGTTAAAACCTATCAGCCATCATCATGGCTGGACCTAGCACCCCTTGGCTCCCCATTACTACAAATATGTCTTAGCATCTTTATTCTCACTGTGGGTTGCACTAGTTGTGGTAGGTTGGAATTAACTGAAGATTTCAGTAACTTATACTTATGATTAAAGTAGAAACTTCCTTGACTGACATGAGAACTAGGAAGGGCTCTCTGTATCTCACCACCCAACTGGATCTGGACCCCTCTTCATTTGCTTACCTGATCTTCATGCTTCTACTTTTGCCTGCAATGAAAGCATTATTTTGGAGAATGTTATCCACACCTGGGTGTCAATGTTGTTTTCTCCTCTAAATGACCCCATATGTGGTCATATCTATATAGACAACAGAAACCCAGATTATATAAACCTAGGCTCTCTGCATGTTCAGACTGATATAAAAGTGTTTCATATGCTGGGTAGCTTCTAAACAACAGAAAATCATTACAGATTAGGAGACTATGAAATGGGTATCAGATTACTAGCAGATTTGGCTTGTTCTATCTCATAGACAGTGCCTTGTTACTATGATGATACTTGGCAGAAGGGGTAAACAATAGCCCTCATTATTACCTACAGTGCCTGTTGGGCCATCAAATGAGAGGTTGGCTTTCAATTTATGAATTTGTGGGTGGTACAAACTTGAAAGCATACCTAGAGCTTTCAAATAGCAGCCATTAGGACTGGCAACTACTGTAAATGTTTCCATGTATTGTCCACCCACATTCAATGTTATCTATCATTAAATTTTGAAACAACTGACCCAATCATCTATTTCTGTCCAGAGAAGTTGCAGGCTTTATTTGCTTGAGTGTTAGAACTGGTCATGTCCACTTGCCCTTGGAGTGTGGGCCAGTGTGGGTTGGAGAGTCAGGCAGGTCCTTAGTGGCTGTCTCCTGAAGTTTGTTGTCATTTTCATGGTTTCTGTGGAAAATGCTGGGCCATACATAAATGATCATCGCGATCCTCTGAAAAGGTTACTGTAATATGTTTTAACAGTAGTGCGCAGCGACCCATGCCACCCCTGTACTCGAGGCATGCTGAACTTGTTCTCCTCACTATATCTTGGAAAGAATTTCCAGGCTTGGCATAGTTCAGTTATGGTCCTACCTCCCTGGGAGTACCATAGGCCCAGCAGGACCTTCTGGAATCAGTAGATTCAGGTATATGTTTCTCAAGTGGAGATAGGACTTTTTGACATTTGTCCATTTTGGCAGAAATGAGGTCCAGGGAAGGTACTGGAGAAGGGCAGATGTGTAAGGGGCTTGTTACAGTTTGTGTGTAGTTGTCCGCCCAAAGCCTCATGTAGTCATTGCATGGGTTGGGCATTTGCTAATTTTTTTTTTTTTTTGGCAAAACTGGGGATTGAACTCAGGCCCTTGCACTTGCCAGTGAAGCACTTATTCCACTGAACCATCTCCCTGGCCCGATTCAATGCTGGGATTGTGGGTGTGAGTGTGATACCTGCTCTGGGACAAAGAATCCGAATACATTGTGTGTTTGTGGGAGAGGCTTGGTAGCTTCCCCAGTAGTTCTTCTCTTTTGGTTTGCTTTCCCCCACCATGAACAGCTGCCTTCTACCAGGTGGCACTCTGCCTTGGAGCCAGCTGAGTAGACTGATACTTCCACTAGCTGTGAGCTAAAAAATTTTTTCTTTCCTTAATTTTGGGTGTTGAGTATTTTGTTTCAGCAATGAGAGAAAAGTAACTGACATAGGATAGATCTATGAGATGTTCCAAAACCAGGTGTGATGGCATATACCTGACACTTCAGGGCTCTGTAAGGCTGAGGCATGAGAATCACAAGTTTGAGCCCAGCCTCGCCTTAGCACCTTCGAGAGACCCTGTCTCATAATAAATAAAAAAGAAGTCACCAAAGATTTAGCTCAGTGCCATGCCTTCCATTCAATCTCCAATACCATAGGGAGCTAGAAAGTACTGTCAGAGTGTCTAATGTGTTTGCATCAACAATCATAACAATATAGGGAGGGCATTGGTGTTACAGATTCCCAGACCAAGAGTAAGGGGGTTGGTGAGGAATCTTGAAGGGAAACCATTCACTATGGTTGTAGGAGGCAAACAGGAGCCTTCAGGATGAAGGGCACAGATTCACCTCTCTGCCTGTCAAGTTGTCCCCTTCAGCAGCATCAAAGGTAGCTCCCAGCTCCATCTCTGGGACCTCATAGGAAACCATCTTAGACAAGTGCTCTCAGGTTCTCTGATTCCAGTTTCTCCCCCTCAAATTGACAGCTGCAGTGATGCTTGTCACTGCAAAGAAGTGAAGGCAGTAACTGCAGATTTGAAAAGAGTCCTTAGTATCTCAAAAATACCTTCCAAGGATGCTACAAAGTGCTAATGCAGAAGAGACACAGACACACCCATCCTGCTGGCTATTGGTTTTCTGTGACCTCTGCCCAATCAATGCCACTCCCTTGCAACTCCCATCTCCTCTGGCCATCTAGGACACCACCTCCATCCTGCTGGGTTCAAACTCTAACCTGGGCCACACTGCAGTGAGGCTCCCTGTGGGTAAAAGAGAGTGGAGCTCCAGCAGGACAGAACACGCAGGAAAAGTGATCATGCAACTGACAGACTCCCTACCCTGCTGAGTGCTGTAGCCTGCTGCTCTTAATTCTTCTAGCTCCAGGCCAACGTGAGAGTCTTGCAGAAGATCACAGGTACTGGCCAGGCATGTGCCGAAGGGTGCAGAAGCCTGAGACAGCAGGGCAGGGGAACTAAGGGAGCGAGAATTATCAGGGAAGGAAGAGATGGGAGGTGGCAGTGGATAGTGTGGGCAATGTGCCCTCCAAATGCCCTAAACCAAGTGATTAGCAAGGACCCTTGAGACAAGCAGTATCAGAGTTGCCTGAGGACACCCAACACCAAGGAGCAGTCTAGTACGCCTTATACCTGTTTCACAATTGACACTCAATTCCAACTGACCTTAGAATGCTGGGGAAGGGAACGCAGGAGCTGACTTTGATGGACAGGCGAATAAGAGTGGTCATGCTGCAGTGTACAATGGTGGGTGTAAAGGCCATCTTCACCGTGCTGTAAGGATCAATCACTAACCTGGTGGTGGTGAGGAAGAGTCATCAGGGCACATGGAACCTCCAACACTGAGAGAGGGTCTTTTCTTTGTTGCTTTGGGGAAGTTGTCTAGCCTTTATGGGCTTCAGTTTCAATATTCATAAAATGGGCACAAGAATCTCTCCTCCAAAGATCCCCCTGGGTGTCCACGGGCTGAAAAATGTCACTCTTGCATACAGTGGAATGTCATTCTCCCGGACAAGTTGCGCTGGTCACTGGTAGTAACTCACCTGAACCCTAACTTGCTCTACTACGTTCAATTCTTCTAGTGTCAGTGAATGCTCTGGGTCACTAAAGGAGCAAATAAGATGTGTCCACTGAAGGAAAAAGGACTTTCCACTTTTCTCCACTCAGAACCCTCGACCAGGAATGCCCATCCTGGATAGTCCTCCACCAAATGCTGGACTTTACAGCTCCCTCCCAAA